TAGCATTATGAAGCTTTTTTTATTCCGATACAGAAGACAGATATAATTACACTGAAGCAGCAGCTATATGGCTAAAAAGGTCTCCTCTTATTTCCCAAGTCACCTTTCCTGTTTCACTCCTTTTTCCCCCAAGTCATACTATATTAGCAGAGAACGTAACTGGGAACTCAGTTTTAACTATTTCTAGCTCTCATGCGAGAACCGTAAAAGATCCGGCTGTTCACGACGAGTGTGAGCTTCCCCCAGATGTTTAAAGTTTTGAAAGGAGACGCTTAAACCGTCCAAAAGGATGATTTACCTGCTGTGTAGATTCCAGAAGGAGAAAAATTACCTTTATATTTTGCTTCCTGTTAGAGGAGCTATAAATAAATGGGGGATGGTTTTAGAGGGGTGCAAAGCAGCTGGAAGAGGAATTCCAGGCTCTGGGAATAAAATCGCCTGATCCCCACCTACGCGATCGCTGCCCTGTTTCCCGGCTGCCACCAGTGTCTCTTCTCTCTCCGCCAGGTTCACGGCTGTGGGGAGAAGGCCAAGGCCCACGCGCGGCAGAGGATCAGCAGAGAAGGGGTTCTCTATCCCGGGAGCGGCTCCAAAGACAAGTCCTTGGACCCAGCCAAGAGAGCCCATCTCCAGCGGCGCCTAGATAAGAAGCTCAGTGAACTGACCAGCCAGAGAAAGAGCAAAAAGAAAGACAAGGAGAAATGAAGGATCTGAATACTTCTTTTTTAACCTTGAAGTCACAGGTCAGACTGCATAAAGCTACAGGGCCGTGCTGAGCCCGAGAGGAAAATGGGAGCTCTCATTTTGGGTGGTAGACAGCTTGGAGCCAGTGTGCCGGAATAAATAGTCACTGGGCTTTCCCTAAACCACAATGCTGAGACGGAGGAAAGAGAGCAGCTTTATTTGTCCCGGTTATCCTTATTGACAAAGTAATGGATGTACACAGAGAGAGAGAGAATGCTGGAGAACGCCAGTAAAGATGCACATATTAAAACACCTAAAGCAATCAGCTGTTGCTGTGACATTTCTCCCTGCTACAGTAAAAATATAAGTGTCTGTGAGCAGGAACGTGGGAGGAACTGAAAACCCTGGGTGACCCTCTCCTCCAGGGAGGATGACTAAGAAAATGGATGCCTCCAGCTCCGTTTTCCCAGTCCAGCAATCCTCCCAGCACGGCTTGGAGTTAGAGTGGACCGGCGTGTCCACACTGCAGCCTGCAAGACCCAGAGTCCCAGGTTGCCCTTCGGGAGCAGGCAGAGCTGGGCTGCATCCCCTCCCCACCATGCAAAGGGGCCGCCGGATGCGGGCTCAGCCCCACCAGCCTCTGCCCTACTGCAGGATGTGGCCCACGCAGGGCTCAACCCTGCTCCGGGGCTGCGTGGGGACAGAGAGGCCTCAAGTCCTTACATCACCAGCACCACGGCAAGCTGCTCCGAAACACCCAGCCTGCTGCCCTGGGACAGCCGCCGTCCACTGCCTTTGCTGGCCATCCCTCTCGGTAGCACTGGTGAGGTCTCTCTCTCCCCACTGTGTGCTGTTCCCTTCCACGACGCTTCCCAGACCTGCTGAGGAGAAGCGTTTCTTTTCCCTGTCCTGCCCTTGCTGCAAAGCTCCTTGGAGGCCGACGTCCACTGGGAAAGTCCACAGCAGCGAAGGCAGGGTACAGCCGTGCGAGTTTTGTGCAGCCCTCCCAGGCAGGGGGGAGCCTCGCGGTCAGCATCGCCCATCCCTCCTGGACCCGTTCCCTGCTCCTGTACCCCCCCCCCAAACTAATCTATCTCCCACACTGTTTTCTGCCTGCTGACCCTCATCGCCAAAGCATCTCTCCGTCACTCACCGCCCCCTGCCCTCTCCCCTCTCCTTGATGGCTCTGAGCAGGTACCGATGCATCGCGCACGGTCCACCAGCCCCTGAGGAATAGCTCAAGCAGCCATTTTTTGTCCCCAGGGTGGCACATGCCAGCCCCAGGATGAAGAAAAAGGTGCCAAGGTGCCTCCACAGAGGAATGGCTGGAGAGGGGCACAATAAAAAGCCCCAAACCACACACGGCCCATCATTTTGGGGCTGAACACTGCAGGTCTTGCCCACCGGTGATTTCAGCACCAGTGGAAGGCACTCATCTCATCCTGACCAAAGGCTCAGCAGTTTGCAGGGGCTGCAAGATAGCCAAGCATTTCTATGTCTCTCTCTCTTCCCAAATGCTAAATGAGGTAGCTAATAAGCAAATTTTCCCCCAAACCTCAGTGCCTCTTAGTACTGGCTGTGAACACCTTCCAAAAAAACCTTCCTCCTTCAGTAAACCTCATCCTTCAGAAAAACCCTCCAGCTGCAGCCCCCGCCCCGGGCAAACCCGGCCTGCACCTGCCTCGGCTCCAAGCATCGCCTTGGCTCGTGCCTTGGTCCCCAGGACCGGCCATGCGTCAGCCCACAGAGGGATGGCACCGGCTCGCGCGACAGCAGATGGGACATCGGGACTCCTGGAAGGAAAGTTGGGGAGGAGGAAGAGACGGAGTGTGGGAGAAGAAAATCGGTGCATCGGTGAGCAGTGCTGGGCATACATGCGGGAAAGAGCCAGAGCAGTGCCTGCGAGGGGCTGCGGAGGGGGAGGACGCAACAGAGAAATCACAGCCTCTTCCCAAAACAAAGGTCAGGCAGAGAAGACAGACGAGCGGAAAGGAAAACTGCTGCCAGCTGAGGGTACCACCACAGTGTTATCTTTAATCAGGGATAAATGGCTCATTCATTTTTTTTTTCCTGCTAAAATCATTCAAGCAGCCACATCCCTGACCATGCTCACCCCCTGGCACCAGCTCTCTGGCAAACAGCCCCAAACACCCCCAGATTTCCCTGCCTGGCTTTCTGCTAGCAGTCTGCAGGCAGAGAAAAGCCGAGGCTCCAGTGCAAGCAAGGGATGCGTCCCCCAGGGCATCCTCTGCCCACCAGCCCGTGCCATGGGGGAGCTCCAGAGCCCTCCATCTGTCACCCTCCAGAAGATGGGGTGGGCATCGGCTCCCCCCTGAAAAAAACCCCAAACCTTGCCCAGGGGCTGGTCCTTGCTTGGGCCAGGAGCCCACGGGCAGACAGGATCCAAACAGATTTTTCCCCTCCCCCCTGAAACAGGAGTTGGGCTTAAAAACTAGGAAATTAGGGGTGTGTCTGTGTCTGCCTTCGGTTACAGGGCCAAGACGTTCCTCTCTGCACCCAGAGTTCAGATAGAACAAGCGAGCTTTGGGATGAGCAAGTCAAAGCGTGACTCCAGGACTAGGGACTGTAAAAAATAATCCCCAGTCATGAGATCTGCGTTAAAAGAACAGGAATTTGCCGTGCTGTTATGAGCAGGCCTGGGGGTTAGTTTAGCTGGCAAAACGGGCCAGGGTGGGAAAAGCTGACCCCGATCACGTTGGACCTTTAGGGGATGACTCTCAGCCTGGATCTGACCTCAAACCCAAGAGGGTGAAAAACCACTCGTCAAGTCCAGACACCCCTCTGCAGCCAGCACAGAGACGGGCAGAGATTTACTCTGCTTGAAAAAAAGATGGAAGGAAAAACCATATATAATAACAATTGCTTTTGCTGCTGTTACTTTTCCCTTTTTCCATCCTCATTGGAAACCTTTCAGCCCCGGTGCAGCACACCAAAATCCCTCCAAAACCCAACAGAAAAACCACACACACTGAGAGAAACTACATCGTGCCGGCACTTTGTCAACCCCCTCTCCATTTTTCCCCCCATTCAACCAGAAACCACCTTCCAAAGAAATTCACCCCCTCCCTGGGAGCCCCTTGGGGTCCACATTCGGGGGCACCACTGATTTCGGGAGGCCGCTGGGGAGCCTGTGGGATGCTCGGGAGCTCGGCTGGCGGCCAGGCAGCGGTTTGGGGAGGTTGGTGCTGGTTTTGGTCCATCTGAAGGGAGGGCTCCTTTCTCGGCAGGTCTGTTCGCAGCCCCCAGCGCATGCGAGGGCGACCCAGATGGGGAGAGATGCAGCCAAGGAGTTGCTCTGTCCTCCGCATATTTTGGCAGCAAGATGCTCCGGCCAAGGTGCGCCGGCAGCTCTGCCTTTTCAGCGCTGCAAAGTCTTTCTCAACCCCTGCCCGGCTGCAAACGCTGCGTTGCGGCGGGTCTCGGCCCCGCCGTTGGGCCGGCGGAGCCCCCCCCCGCCCCACGTCA